ATATATATATATATATATTTTTTTATCCACCAAATTTCATTTTTTTAAAATCCGTTCAGAGAAAAAAATTAAAAACCTAATTTTCACCTCCCTTTTTGAAGGAGAGTAACTCCTCAGGGAGAGGAATATAAGAATATATAAAAATCCTTCCTTAATTTTTAACAAAAAAATTTGTCGCACTTACTTAGAAACACCCTATATATTAAGAGAAAGAGAGAAAGCTGAAGGAAGAGAGAAAATCGTAATTGTCTTAACAGCCACGTGCGACCGCGATCCTTCTATATACGGACTTAATACCCAGTCGCGAAAGTAATCTCCCGAAGGTAATGCCAACTTACGATCGGCACGGAAATCCGTCAAATCCGTTGCGTGTGCATGGCAACTTAATTATTCCAAGACGTGACCGTGATCGTCTTAATAGCCAACGTTGTATGTGGTTATGATCCTGGCGAACGATATCTAAGCTATCATCCTATTACAGTTCGGTCCTGCAACATTGTGTGCGACGTGCATATACCTGGGATCAACGGTATATATGCCGCACGTCGTGTTACGGTGAAACACGTATGTGTAATGCCGTAGTCCTGAACCCTGGCTCTCCAAGCCCAGAGAGTGCTAAATTGCTAAAAGATATCTCCCATGAATTCGACTAGTTGTACACACCGATTGAAATCTACCGAGCTTACGTTTCTACCACGTGTCGTCCGTCCTGATCTTCACTCGAGCGAATTACATTCGCGTTCGCTAACGTACGTATGTATATAAACGTGCGCATGTCTGTCTACATTACACGCGTGCAAGCACATTAGGAAACGTGTAAACGCCGTGAGAGAATTGCTCAGATGCTCAGCAACAGTCTGAATTCATCCGTAACGCAACAAGCATATACCCTTCTAGTTTTCGACAATCAATAATCGATAGGATCATTTTTAATGGATGATCGTATACTTTGAAGCGATGTAAGTTAGAATAGGATCAATTATTATATTCTGGTTATAAAATCAACACTAACGTTTATTAAAAATTAATTTTTTAAAAAAAGTTCTATTAAAAAAAATAAAGAAATTATTATAGCGATAAATCTAGAGCAACAAAATTATATTAAAATATATATAATATATTGAAATATAATATTTAATATGAATATATAGTTATTAATCAATTTTCTCATTATTAAAAATAATATCGCAATATGTTTACATCGTTTACCTTTTAACCTAGAAATTTTTGCAACGAAATAAAATAAATTCGTAACACAATACTGCACGACATAAAATATCAAATGGATAAATATCGCATGTCTCTTTTACTCAACTGACATTTCTCGAGAAAATTCTCAGTAATGTTTATTTTAACCGTAAATTTTATTCCTCCAAAGCGCGCCTTGTCACATATAATACGAGAAACCGCGAGACACGTTGGCAGGTGAATAGCGGAGAAATTCGGTCGCAATCTTAATTATGGAGACATTTCTCAGGAAGGAAGATCGCACGAATAAGAAGGACGATGTCGATTTTTCCGAAAAATGGGGTCGAAATATTGCGAAAAACTATCTCATTCGAAGCATTAAAGCGATCTCCGGCACGCCAAGATTTCTCCTTAATCATCCCCTATTTATAGTTTTGCGGTGTTGGATACTTTGCGACGTAATATCGTATTTCGCTATCCTAAACCTGCGTGACGGCCGCGTAAATTATATATTATACGTAACGCATCAGAGTGTGAATAAAGATTACACCCGTAAAACGATGAGGGGATAAAGACGAATTTATCGCGGCGTGGTATCCACTTTCCAGATTCGAAGCGGAATTGATCACATTCTACGTTATATATATAGTTTTCCGTATTAATACTTTAGACACCCTGCGATTTGTCTTTGCCTGTCCTATCGGTTTACATATGGTACACAATACCGATACACCGTTCATTGCTTTTATGCGATTTAACCGAGGGGTTGATCATTAGTGGTTATAGTGTACAAAAAATTACCCTTGATTCGGATTACCTTTAAATTCTCAGATTACTTAATACTATCTTAGATTACCTAATACTACCTCAGAGATTACTTAAGATTACCAAATATTACCTCAAATTACCCAAGATTACCTCAGAATATTTAAAATCACCTCAAATTTTTTAAAATTACCCCAGATTTTTCCAAATATCTTCGAGAACATCGATTTATTAACAATGTTCACTAACTTCAAAAATTAAAGATTATCTTAGATTATTAGAGACAACCTTAAGAATATCTAGAATTATCTATAGATTATTTGATATTATCCTTAGATTACTTTGATTTCTTATTAGATTACCCAAGATTACCTGAGACTGCTAACGATTATTTAGAATTACCAAAAATTACCCAAAATTTCTTTTGGATTACCGTTGAATTACCTAGTCCTACGAAAAATTACCTGAGTTACCAACCCTTTTAACGCATCACCTTTACGTCCCATAGTAGATATATATTTGGAAAAGAAATAACGCGATTCGCGTAGCATTTGCTGCACAAACATGAGAAATGGTGAATTTATTAGTCACTTTACGTAACCGATCGCGATTTCAGTTCTCCCTTTATATATATACATATATAAGAGTTGGAAAATAAGCTTAGAATTCGTTCTATATTCTTGCCATTAATCATCGACGCAAACATTTCGAGCAACAAATTGTCGCTAAAGTACCGCGCTATATAGTTAATGGAATTGCCACGCCGACCTTTGCGAAGCGATTTACTCTCGCTCTATCATCCCTATTCAGTCATACTTCAGCTATCCGCGCGAGTACCTACATCATCGCTCAGCGTACGCCGATTTACTCGCTTGTGAAAGCACTCTCTCGTACGAATTAGCCGGAAACCAGAACGTGCGAGTGCGATCGTAGGTACATAATGTACTCGCGCGGCAGATACATATGGAATCTCGATGGATATAAAAGCTCCTCGTAGACGTGGAGAGGAAAGAGAAAGAGGGAGAGACTCTCCTCTCTCCTTCTTTCGCTTCGAGCCACCTGCGGATCGTTCATCATACCAGTAATGCATCTACCAGCTCCGCGTTTTCTCTTGCTCTCTTTTCTGCGTCGACGAAGCGGGGGATGATCTTCGACGCGAAAGCCGCGACCGTCCACCCTCTTTCCCTCCTTTTTACCCTCCACGACTGCCGCATCTCGCCGCCCTTTTCCCTGACACCCCAGCTGATACACCCCGCCAAGGAGCTCTCTCTCTCCCAGCTATGCAACCTCCGGTAATGCGCGCATCAATAACCTATCATATCCAACCTTCTGGATGCGATAGTGGCGTGCATCTCAGCTCTCTCTCTCTCTCTCTCTCTCACTCTCTCACTCCCCCTCGAATGCGTTCACTCTCCGATCTTTTCGAGCTTGTAACTAGATACTTCTCCGGAGGGTCTTTACATGCATATAATATATATATATATATATATATATATATATATATGTGTGTGTGTGTGTGTGTATATTATATGTTTCTTAGAACGGATGTTATGTAAATCGGAACTAGAAAATCGTTTTCTGATAGCGGCTCGGAAAAAATCCGGCGATTTTGCGCCGACGCACTTCTATCCAAAACGTGTTGCACGTGTAACACTAGGGAAACTACGCTCGGAAATTGTCAATTTTTTTATGGAAGATGCCTATGTTGAGAAAGAAAAATATTGAAAGTTTGCAAGTGTCTTAGAACATAAATTTGACATGGAAAACTTTTCGCGCAACTTGACAAACTTGCGCGCGCTATAAAACAAAACGGGAATACCAATTCGCTTTGACGAAGTACAACCCCTACATAATGCGAGAAAAAAATGATATATGATAAGGACAATTTTTAGTGACTTATTTCATAATATTAAAATTGATCATGCATTTATATGTCCAAGTTTTAATTTTTTAAATATCTAATTATATAGATGCAAAGGTTTATAATTAAACCACAAAGTATTTTTTCTTACAGCTTAAAAAAAAAAAATAAAATAGGAGAAGCAATAAGATGCAATTTTTACCACCGATGTATGAATAATACTCGGAATAATATAATACATAACACGAGAGAAAATTACACGATAAATTAATAAAGCATCAATGATTCAATTCAAAATAATAAATCAATAATTCTAAACCATTACAAAATAAAGTTTATTTATCCATAATATTTTCATGATTTTAACAATAAAAATATGTAAAAAGAAACACCGTTATGGAAAGAGTGCTTTTATTATTCGCTAATGGAGCAACATCTGCGATTAATTCTTTCTTTCTTAATATTTTATTAAAAATTATTTCGCGACATCACAACGTATTTGCAATCTTGTCATAATCCAAAAATCACCTAAAAATACTCGATTCATCAAAAAAAACAAGGTGATGCATTCGACGTGACGCTTTCGTTGATAAATTCCAAAACAAAAAAAAATGAAACACATTCAAACAAAAATAGTACCCAAAATCTTAACAACGATATCGCCATTAAATTTCCAATATTTCTCGCACTTAATATCATCGCCTAAGGTTAGATTGCAAAATGATAAAAAAAGAAAGAGTGAGGACGTCGATGTTGCCAAAAATTCATTTCAGCATATAATGATGTTACTCTGCGGACATCTAATTTGGGATTGCAATTGGACCGATTGCAATACCACTCGTATCGAATAAGCGATTACAAATACGATTGAACATCTCCTACAGCGAGAGATGTATAAATTATGAAAAACGCACGCGAGTATAATTGACTTTTGAAAACATAAAAATATCTTAAGCAAATGTCTTGAAACATAAAAATGTCCAATACGATTAATTTTTTGTTTTATTATATATTTACTTATTATCTCTCTTCGATAGTGTTTATTTTGGATAATATGTATATACACTATATGCTATAATGCAGAATTTATTGCAAATTGCACGTTGCATAATCGCGAGTTAATGCAACAATTTTTCTTTCTTTTCCGCCCATTTTCTATAACAAGGAACAAATAAAAAATACTTACATTATGCGTCCTGAGGATCATTTGTCTATTCACAGGATCGACCTCGCTGCGTTCGCTGGCGTAACACAAGTTCGCGTAGCCAATTAACTGTAAAAAAAAGAAGAGGAAACGTGCGCTCGTATAATAAGCCCTGGGCATCAACGTAAAAGTCTTACTCGCGTATAAAAAGAAGTCCGCGCTATTTAAATGTAGTTTCGGCGAGAACTGGCTGGCGAACTGCTAAAAACCGATTCAAGCCACCGATAAAAATCTCGGAAGTGCTATAGACAAGCACTTCCGGTTTCAAACTTTCCGCATTGAATTCGACGATAAAGCCTTCCAAACTTCAATGGTATGTTTCAGTCTTCGAGAGCTGCTTCGACTCGATTTCACGACTTTTCATAGCGTGCTCGATAAAGCGAAAAAAGGTGTGCAATAAAAAAATTAGAGCAGTTCGTGAATTATCCATCACAGTGATGATAGACAATAGAATAGATAAAATTAACATACAACTTAAAATTAATATATTATATGACAGACATAGTTTGTATATTAAGTTTAGAGTCACTTTCAATTCTGACGTGTCATATTCTACCCATCAAGTACATAAACATCTTCTTCAATACAATAAATTATATTTAACCCCCGTCGTATTTAGTTATTATTATTGATCAATTGCAAACAGCATTAATAAGATATTATTTGCAGGAATTATATGCAGTAGCATTCACATTGAATATCGGGAAGGTAAAACAACGGACCTTTATATGAAAATATACTATATATTCATATCAGCATGTTTATATGTACACGAGGCAAATTAAACAAACAAGCGATATTTACATGAATAGCGCTGGGCTCTATAGAAAGCGATAAGCGACTATTAATTGGTTCTGCATCAGAACGCAGCCGGTAATCAATTTTGTTAAACGCCTACAGTGACGCTTGCATTATCCTTTCACAATTATACAAAAAGTATATATATAAACGAAGGCCCAAAATTAATGATCATTTATTCAATCGCCGAAATACATATATCTAATTGTAAGTTATCGAACCTGATAAAAAAATTGCAAAAATATAAAAAAAAACATTAATCGTAACTGAACACACCTTTTCGTTGAGAGATACTGGGGGATGAAATTCTATAAACCATCAAACGTCAAATAAAAATGAAAGTCATCCTAGCGACAAACGCGATGATTGATTAATCAGCTTTCGCGAATTTTGGCGCACAATTCCGCAGCAGAACGTAACCATACTCGCATCGCGGTAATTATTAGAACTAATCGCCAACGATAAATAATTCGAATGCGCAAACGTTCCGCCTATTTCGGCCGAGAAGAAATGGGACGTCGCTTTTCATAAGTTTGCGCGGCGGCGCGCGATATTAATAACAAATTAGCATGAGTAATTAGGTAATTAGAAAGACGCTAATTGGGCAGGCATGCTAAGTACACTTTAATTATTATTCCTCTTGCGATTAATTATGCATATTCTAATTAGACGCTCGAATAAACGCCGACCTGCTTATACCGACGCTTTGGCTGCCAATTCGTGCGCGTTTTGGGAGCGAGAGAACAGGCGCGATAAGCGAACTTTTCCCTCTTTTTTTCTTTTGCAGAGAGCGTTTCGTTGTCGAAACTGCATCCGCTAATTACTCGGAATAGCGCGCTGCGCCGCTGGATGCTAGCATTGAAAGCGGCGTCGACGAAAGCGTCGCGGCCGAAACGGTCCTGTGCACTTTTCCATTCGTTAAGTAATTTTCGGGCGTATTTAAATACTGCAACTTCCAGTCTCTCTCTCTCTCTATCTCTCTCTCTCTTTCTCTGCAGTAACAGTTACGTAAAGTGCTTGAGAAATACGACTATATCGCTATATGTATATACATGATCGCATATGTATGCTCGACGTTATATTTGTACTACATTAAAATTTTCAACTTTTCTCTCTTCCTCTCTCTTTCTCTCTAATGAATTAAATTTTTAGTATTTCTAAAAATTTTTCCTAATTTTTAAATTATTCATTAAATGTTGTGTGGACGTTGCTCAGAAAGAATATATAACTTTTTCCTCCATTCGCATTTATTATTTCTTCATTATTTAAATACACGCGCATTAATTGTAATAATAATACAAGTTTGCATAATACAGGCTCGTAAGACACATTTGAGCAAACGAAGTAGTTTTCTAGGTAATTTTGTGCGCTGAATTCGAATGAAATTAAAAGTGTCAAAAATGACGATTTTGGTCAACATCGTGTATCTATTTTAGACGTCAAATTTTTTTAATATTAAATTTCTGATAATATTATCGCATAGTACTAGTCTTCCCCTTTAAAATCTATTTCTAAAAAAGTTGTTAACTTGTTTAAATCGTTCAACTAATTACTCTTCTGTTTAATTAAACATATAGAGGTATTTAAATTAATTACAATATTAAATCTTTCACATAATATGTATTTGATTTAAATATTTATATATGTTTAATTAACAAAATAGTAATTAGTTGAACGATTTAGTGAATAAGTTAACAACTTTTTTCAGTGTATGATACCTTGTTTCCGAGATGTATCATTTTAAAGATATTAAATTACAAATGGATACGTGTGCAAAATACATCATAAAAACCTATACAACATCGAATAATGCAAATCTAAACTTAGACCTCAAAAACCCAAAAATCCTCAAAATACAATGAGCCCAAAACACAAAAAGTATATATACATTTATCTGAGAAACCTGATAGCAAATCCTGAGGCCAGATTCGGATTCAGTGCATAAAGTTACATAGAAAACCACCTGTCAAATCTCAATTATCAAAACTATACAAGCCTGTGTAGTTAAAAGTAAGAATAAAAAAATAAGAAAACTATAATATGAAGACGAAATCACTTATTACCACAATCTTGTTGATATAATTTAAACGGAAGAATTTGAAGTCCTCGTGTGTAAAATAAATTTCTCGCACGCGCTTTCTTATCGTCGACCGTCCACGAACGATCACTTTATGTACCGTCGTTACTCGAGCACTCTGTATATGATATCGCGAGTCGAGCCATTTGAGCGAATGGTGCACAACGAAACGGCCCAGCGAAATGGCCAAGCTTATAGAAAATCCGGCGAGAGGAAGCGATCCGCGAGAGAGGGATCCGACGCCTCCAGAATCTCCAGGGTATACCGAATAGAGGGTGGTTGGGGGCGAAGTTGCCTGGGTATTCCAGAAAGCGGGACGCGTCTGGCTGGACGATTGCCAAACGGCGTAACATTGAGCGCGCTCATTATGAAAGTTGATGCGCGCGGATGTTGTTTTGCAATTCCCCGGGTCCCCGGCACCTTCTTTTTGCGCGCGTTCGTCGAAAGTTTCGAATTTCCGGATCTCCGCGATATACGCTGCCGGAGATTGCTAAGCTAAGGGACGAGCGAACGAGGGTGTGGGAGGGTTTTTGTCGACCCGCCACGGGCTACCTCAGAAAGAGGTCGGATGATGCTGTTACACTACGTTCACGCGGATTGATTTCTTGCCGCCCGTTGCGCTGGAGAGATCAGTGCAACATCAATTTTACTGTGCGACCGACCGTGAAAAAGCTGCGCCGGTGATAAAAAATGAAAGTCACGCGCCAAGGTGCAAAAGCGCTCGACGAATAATAGAGGCAAAAAATTTACAAGTATAATAATGTTGGTTTTTTTCATAAGAAATTCTTATACGAAATGTTAATATATAGGGTGACCTATTTACGTATAAACTGTTAATGGCAGATTTATGAAATTATTTGGAGACGATTTTTCCTCAGTTAAAATGTCGAGGCATCAATAATTTTCGAGTTATAAATACGGTGACCATATTTTCTAAAAAAAAATAAAGAACAAGGTTTTGTTTCAACATGTTTCTAAATCAGTTTGCGACCAAAGTGGACATCGTCGAGCAAAAAAATATAACTCTGTCTATCAGAAGTCTACGTTTTTATTCTTATAGTTTGAAACTGATTCGACTATGTTAAAACAAATCCTTGGTGTCTTAAATAAGTTCCGGATAAAAGATATCGTTGTTTTCGTATAAATTATTACGTTAATACTACATTAAACAATAAAACATTAAATAAAAAATAAAGGACAAAATTGAGTTTTGGAAAAATAAATAAATTTAAAGAACAACTACTTGAAATAAAGGACTATCTTTTAAAATAAAAAACGAATGGTCACCGTAGTTATATGATAAAAATAAAGAATTGAAAATTTTTGTAAATTAAATCTCTTGTGGAAATAAAATATTAACAAAACAGTTAAATCCGGGTCTTTAATTAATTTTAGGTAAAGTTTATTTTAATATAGAATTTTAATTTAAGACTTGGTTACAAAAGATACATGATAGCAAAAATTGGGAACATGTAAGAAAAATCGTCTCCAGATGATCCCAAGAATCTACCATTAACAGGTTATACAGTATGTCTGAGACATCCTGTGTGGTGTCATTTTATATCAGCAGATACAGAATCTATATCGATTAAACGTAGAAACAGATAAAAAGACGAAACTCTTAATAAGTAAACTATATATCTTCTCTGCACTTTTTCACCAAAGAAATCTCGTAAAAATTGATTTTCCACATAAAAAATTATACATTTTATATGAGCTACAATAAATTATTTTATTATTTTCTATTAATTAAGATAAATTTTTAAATAATTTGCAAAAAACTTGTAAAAATTATGAAACGTTTTATATTTCGACCTAAAAGAGTGCTATATGTAATATCATCTTTTGTTCACGCAAGAGTTCACTGAGAAGTTAAACGTCAATTGACATGCTGGTTACGTCATTACCAATATCTAATCATATCGTAACGTTTGTGTTCGAAGTTCATTTTCACATTAAAGCTGTAAAAAAATTTGTATAACTGATCTATCATTCACTTATATATCATTCGCCTGATTAGATTGATGTTAGGAGTGAATGCACTCTAAAATCTGTGAGTCATTAACAAGATATGAATGCCATCTCGCGTATCATATATATTTAATACTAACATTAAGATTTATTTTATTCTAAAGAGACATCGGCAATAAAAATTTAAATTTTCTATGCAAGAAATTTAAAGTTATTCAAGTCAAGGGATTGAGAAAGTAATTACACAATAATCTATATATTTTTTAAGATGCAATCGAACATGCTGTATCTGTGCACGAAAGTCATTTAAACAACAATCAAAAAAAGTTTATGGTTGTCCAAGTTATGTCACCCTAACAATAAGGTATACCTTCGTCCGTCAAGCACATAGCAGCAGTATAGTTACGTAACTTTGCGTGACAAGAAAAGTTGGAAGATTAAATTGTAAAAGGTTTCTGCGAGATCGGCGCGAGTCGATAACTTATTCAAGCGTCACTTGGAACGGGTCTGTGGTGACCAGTGTTGTGCTTACAATTAGATGATTTTAAAATTAGCTAGATAAAAATGAGATAAAAATATATAAATTTATTTTACAATTAGATAAGATAAAGATAATTTTGTTTTAAATATATTTAGATAAAAATAAAAAAATATATGGTGATTTATCTAAATAATTTTCTAGATAATAATTTTTAAGACTGCTTATGTAAACACAGTTATAAAAAAATGTAAATTATAAAAGAAATATAAAAATATATATGTATTCATATTTTTATTTATAAATTTTATGGCTTACTGCTTAAGTTCTACTATTTAAGTATTTTTATGTGCTATGATTCTAAACCAAAATTATTTGAAAATTATTCTAGATAATTTAGTAAAGATAATACTTTTTTTCATCTAAGATGCAGATATAGATAATACATATTTTTATTATCTATATAAAGATAAGATTACTATATATAAAGATAAAACATCAAAGTTTCATCTCGATAATCATCTATATAATTTTATTTAGATAACAGACAAAGGTCTCTGAAAGGTTGTTCCGATAAATTTTCACATGAATGAAGTGGTTTTGTCCACGTTCCACAAGAGTGCGCGTCCAGAAAGAGAGAGTAAAAATCGATAAACGGAGCTGGCTGAGGATAAGTTCTCCAAGCAAGGTTACCATTCGGCCAACTCTTCGATCATCGTGCTCTATCGCTTAAGCGACGACCTTGTAACAGGCCGGTGTCCACGTGACTACATATATGTACTTGAGAGAGAATGCACTGGAATATTCTTTACAACGCTGCTTTATCGTCACCCCTCGATACATAGAACTATCCTTGATTATAGACTGAAAGTTTTTGTGCAATCATATGTAATCACCCCTCATTAACCATTAACCAGCATGATTAAGTTTGAGTGACTACAGAATTGACGTCACGCGCGATGACGTTTCTAGGTTTTTAAACTTGATATTGACTGATGTCTCCACGCGTTTCAAAGCACGTAAAATGAGAAAAAAATCTTTCCTTTCAAATTTTGCATTGTAATGTAAATATACATACATACATTAGAGCATTCTCTCTTGTTGAGATACTTTTTTATTTTTCTCAAAACAGCTCATTAATATTTATACAAAAAATTTGTCCGCAACGAAAAGGCACGTTCCTTTACGCTGATCGCATTATCGCAGCACAATATTATAGTATTTTGCACGACCAAGCATTTATACGCCTGTGTGTATGTGTGTGTGTTCTGAACAAAGTTGAGAAATAACTCGTTACTTTTAACAAAGTTATAGTTACAGTTAAATTGTTTTTAATAACTATAATTAACAATTAACTACGTTCTTTTTTCTACATCTATAACTGTAACTTAATTTGGTTACATTTTTTTGGTAACTAGTAACTAATTTAATAGTTACTTTTTAATAATTGGTTTATATAAAACTTAAGGCTAACAATTTTTCGAAAAGTAACGATTGTCTGAAATTTTATGAATTTTTTAACTGAAAAATCTGAATTTCATAATTTTTATTCTAAGTAAATAATATTAATTATTAAAAAAAGTTAATTTATTACAAATTATAAATTTAATATATTAAATATATTTTCACATTTTAAATTTAAAACAGTTATAATTTATTGCATAGAAAATAATATGTAGCACATAATCAAGAATGTAATATATAATTTAGTAAAGTTCTTGAAATAAAATTATATTTAAAATATAATATAAGGTCATTGCAAAAAAGTAACTTAAAAGTAACAATTCATTAATTTTTGAGTTATTATAACTATAATATATTACTTTTCACAGTCGGAACTGTTAATTGTAACTAGTTACTTTTTCAATGAAAGAAAAACTGTAACTGTAACTAGAAACTTTCACAAAATAACTTTCTCAACCCTGGTTCCGAATACATGAAATAAATTCATTAATTTGCAAAAAAGCTACACACGACACCGGAGGAAGATCACGTGTATAATGACACACTTATCGTAAGATGTCCATATACATCCGCGAAATGTCTAGATAGCATTTCATAAGTGGCACATGACAGAGTTATACGTAACGAGCACGTAACGAGCTCGTGCGTCTATGTCAGTGTGTGAGAAATCGATACAACTGTATTGGGACAAGTATATGTTTTGCACAAATGATATTAAATTATGAAAGCTAATTTCGTTTAATCAATATTACAAAGAACTGTAGTAACAATTACTCTGTCACACAATACAGCTGTTCGAGAAGAGGTTATGTTAGGTTAGATATGCGGTAATTGTAGGCGGCACGTGGCCAAAATTAAAAGACTCACCGCTTGTGTCCACTTAGGAAAGCCCCATTGCGTGGATACCACGAGTCTGTGGGTGTGAAGGACACCGTCTACCACCTTCCTGTCGATGACATCCGCCCCGATGACAGAAGGCACCATAGGATTCGGATACTTTCTCCATGCTGCCTGCGCTACAGTTTCCCATGGATGACTGCAAAGATTTTTTTATAAAATTATCGCGTCAAAATATCTAATTCTCAAAAATTAGTCGAACTTACTCCTTTTTCTAAAAGAGAAAACACTAGCTCTATTTACGAAACTTAAATTAAGTAGCATTATTTTTAAAATTTCCTTTCTTATGCTTTCGAAATAAATTCTAACATTTTATAATTCCAAAGAAATTTAAAAAAATTAGAAAGCTACAGAAGTACCCTAGAATTTTAATTGTCCGAGATAACCTAAATTCCTGTCTCCTCCTGTCCCGACAATGAGAAGTTGCCTCATTCGCGAAATGTAACAGGTAAAACGATTAATGATAACGAGTTTATCATTCGAGTTATCGTCTTTGGAGGGATTTCACAGAGGAAATGTCGAGGAACGAGTTTAAAGAGCCACGCGCTTTAAAAGGCTTACTTACTCGAAGGTATGCTCGGATGTCCAGATTTTCATAGCGTTACGGATAGGGCGAGCAACGCTGCATGTAGGGCGAGCACTGTTAATTTTTAACGCGAAACACGTGCGCGGAACAGGCTGTCACGATTCCGAGCGTTTGCCGTGCGTCGAGCCGTCTTTAAAGGTATGATGATGATGTAAGTAGAAAAGATTTTACGACGACAAGAGACCCCCAATATGCTCTGTCCTACGCTAAACAGCGTCAACTGTACGTCAGCAACCAATGGCCGCCGTATTACGTCAGCGTCTAACGTCATTGGTCGATCTATCGACCAATTTTTTTAGCGCTAAAATCAAATTGTACAATGACAATACTTCTAAAATTTCATGTATAAGCACGTGTGTATATAATTTAAAAATGATTAAATTACTCATTTTTACAAAAAATTTGATATGACATATCTTGTAAAAAGATTAGTCGATCGATTAGTTTTAGTTAAAAATAGCAGTTCTAGCTTAGACGTTGAAAAGGTTATAATATTCAAAAAATTGTGTGTAAATATATAATATACGAAACTGCATGGTATTATTTTAAAATATTTACATGCTCCGTTTTTCTTGAAAAAGATCGATGTGCTGTAATTCTGTAGGTAAACAACCAATATCTGTAAGAAAAATAAGATACTTATTGTAAAATTTAAAATAAAATATTTGTATATTACAGAGGGCATATGTGTATTAAGACTTTTCGACTTAAAATGACATCAAGAATACACAGTTTCAGTATAGACATCACGTTGCGGAACATCCTGTATAATGAATATATAGTAAAATAATTGATAATTATACAGCGTGTGTCGAAAATTCGCAAATCGCATCTGTTTATGGGAGATTTCTCAGATCATTTGGAGACGATTTTTCTTCAGCAAAAATGCTGAAGGTATCCATAATTTTCGAGTTACAAATAATTTAAAATAAAGAATGTTTTGCTATCCAAGCCTTGTGAGAATAAAATATTAACAAAATCATATTCTTCAATTAATTTGAAGCAGAAGTTACTTTAATAGAATTTTAATTTAAGACTTAGTTATTAAAATACATGATGGCAAAAATTAGAAACATGCAAAAAATGATGGCTTCCTTCTCCTTCGACATTTTTGATTAAGAAAAATCACCTCCAAATGATCCCAGGAATCTGCTATTAATAATAAATGATCTACTAATTCAGGGGATGCCCTCTGTATAAGCAATGAAATAAAATCTTACTCCTCATGTGTAACGGCACAGCAGGCTGAGAGTCTCTGTGCTCCAAAATAATTTTCTCAACTGCTTTTAATGCATTGTATATTGTTCGAGACTTTGGTGCTCTTGCTAAATAAACTGCACATTGGCCCAAAAGTACATCGCATTCTGGCATACCAATCATTTGACAACCATACATTGTATCAACAGCTACACCTATAATTATAAATTTAATAAGTTTCAGAGCATAATAAATATGAAAAATTTTAGAACAAATTTACTTATGTACATTATATGTAAACTCAATCTCTTTTTACCTAAAGCATCTGGATCTGCTAAACCAATATCCTCACTAGATATCCTAACCAGCCGTCTTGCAATGTTTACTGGATCTTCCTTAGCTGCCATAATTCTAGCCATCCAATACAAGGAAGCATTTGCTTTACCAGCTCTTATTGATTTATGAAGAGCGGAATACATGTGATGGCTTTGATTGGTTTCTTTGTCAGAGAGCATATGTGCTTGTATTAAATTATCTTTAATATCTTTCAAAATAATATCATTATTAGATAATGTTTTTAATCTATTTCTTCTTTTTGCAAGAATTGCTGATTCTAGAGTATTCAGAGTTACACGTGCATCACCATCGCATGCTTCTGCTAACCACTGTATTGTATTATTGTCAATACAAAATGTAAAATTTGAATTAGAATGTAACTGCTCTCTATTCATTTCAGTTCTTTTTTGTACATCGAGTATGTTTCCATTCATATATTCTATTGCTTTATGAAGAATCTGTGTTATGTCGCACTCTGTTAATTTTTTTAATACAAACACACGACATCGGCTTAACAAAGCTGGATTCAAACTATAAGATGGATTTTCAGTAGTACATCCGATTAAAGTAAATGTTCCTGCCTCTACATGCGGCAAAAATATATCTTGCTGAAGCTTGTTGAAACGATGAATTTCATCCATAACGACAATGGTTTTGAATCCACATTTGAATTTATCCTTTGCTGCAGTAACAGCATCTCTTATACTTTTTACACCACAACTACTTGCAGATAAGTTTACAATGTGCACATTATCACCTGTTGTTTCTCTGCTCAAACGTGCTATTATATTAGTTAAGGATGTCTAAAATATAAATTTCAAAGATAATTATTTGAAAAAGTGAAGGATGTACAAAAATAGTAAATTACCTTTCCACAACCAGGTGGACCCCAAAATATCATACTAGGTATCTCTCCTTTTTCCAGTAAGTAGCCCAATACAGTGCCTGGACCAATAATTTGTTTTTGTCCTACGTAAGATGCAATATTTGTCGGAATCATTTTTTCAACAAGCGAAATATGTTCCATATCTAGTTTCTTATCTCTCTCTGAGGATACTTTAACTGAAGAATGTTTAACAAAATTATGTACTGATACGTTTTCCCAAATATTTGACATTTGATTGCTATGCACTTTAATCTTCTTTATTTCATTGCTTGTCACACAGTTTTCTTCAAAGGGAAATAATCTCTTAGATTTTCCTTCCATGTGATTTTCTACTTTTTAGTTGTCCTACAATTCTATACTTTTTTACGCACAAAATAAATTACATGATTGTGTTTGCGTTCGGCGAGTGTATTATTAGCATTTGCGCAACATAAACACCGCCAATTGCCAATGGATAAATTTTCGTTACAATCACGTGGTCTCCAAAAGATATGACGTTACCGACCGTTTCAATTCCCAATAGATGACGTTGCTATACACAAATTTACTATATATTCATCATTGAATATGTACTTACTCAGGCTCATTGTTAGACACATAACATATTCATTTGCGAGGCATTTGAGCGATTATGAATTGTCATAAAGATCATCAGTTGTAAGTTTGCTTGTCCTCGTCTAATAATAAGGTGATAGGCTTTTTATAATTGTGAAGGAGAGGGGCTTTCTCACCGATTTGTCTGAAACTTGAGAATTTGGTGTGCGATATGTAAAACATGAAAAATTGAGAAGGAGAGGAGCTTCCTCACCGATTTGATTGAAATTTCACAATTTTGTGTTTTTTGGTACATAAAATATGAATCTACAAGTTAAAATTGTCGCTCTTAATTAGGAAAAAAGTTATTAAATGCTAAAGTGAACAGTTGCATGGTCAACATGATGTGGTGTAAACACAATGTTCACAAAATATACCAACTGTTCTCTGATGTAGTTTTATACTGAATATATTGAATTACATAGTTAAAAGGGATGGAAATAGAGTTTATGCTTTTCTAAAACAAAGAATAATTGATATATTGAAAAGTATTTAATATAAGAATTGCTTAAAATTACAGTTGGGTTGGAGAATGCTTGTAGAGAGAAATTTGACGCTTCTATAACCATGACATCGAGCAATAAGGAGCGATATCGACTCGAGCAGGAAGCGTTCGTCTCCAATCATGGGGGTACGACACCCCAAGAGGTAATTTTCACCATTTTACCGAACGTTTGCGGCGTCTTATTGACAGCGACAACTCTGGGAGTTCTTAGGAGATACACCTGCAACAGGAATGTAAGAGTCGTCATAGAGTTTGTACTAATTGTTATTCCGACTATCCTGTGCTGCACTGTACTGTCGGAACACATTGGTACCGTATGCATCGCAATGATATCTATCTCTGCGCTGAATATAATGCTGTTAGGGCGTAAGGGCGCTCGTTTTTCTAACTTAGATATGCGGCCGGTCACCGGTAAGAGACCCTTCATAACTAACTTTCGCGCGTTAACCAATATTATAACTGCGATTTGTATATTAGCCGTCGACTTTCGAATCTTTCCGCGAAGGTTCGCCAAGACAGAGGTGTTTGGTTATAGTTTAATGGATACGGGTGTCGGGCTGTTTGTATTAGCCAATGCCCTAGTTGCACCGGAAGCTCGAGATTTTTCCGTTTATCGTCAAGTGGGATTTCAGGAGACCCTTAAAAATATAAGAAATTGTTTCCGAAGCTGTCTACCTCTCTTAGCGTTGGGTCTTGGGCGTTTTGTAACAGTAGAGTACATGGGGTACCAGAAGCATGTCACTGAATATGGAATTCATTGGAATTTTTTTATAACTTTAGCTGTCGTTAAGTTATTCACTAGTATGATCACCAGTACGATTAGCTCGAAGTATTCGTTATTCTCAGGTGCTTGGATATTAGGCATGCATGAGTACATCATGAGCACAAAAGGTTTAAAGGCATGGGTTTTAAGCGATGATTTAAGAAATGACTTTTTCTCTGCCAATCGAGAGGGCTTAGTTTCTGTACCTGGTTACGTAGGTCTGTATTTCATTGGTGTGGCTATTGGAAGATTAATCCACTCGACATATCAAAATTCACATACAAAAGTGAACACGAACATTTCTGTAAAACTATACGATTTTGAATTTGAAGCAAGCTACAATGAATCCATGTTATTATGTATTAAGTTATCTTTGATATCTGCGCAAGCTTGTATTGCAACATTATTATGTGATTCATACTCAAAGGTTTCAAGAAGATTAGCTAACGCTGGGTATTGTATGTGGATATTGACTCTGACAACTACGCTGCTTACTCTCTTACTACTTGTAGAGGTTGTGCTAGATATAACTAATTATGCAGCAAGTGAGTCATGCAATGAAAACAAAACAAAGAAATTAAGTAGAAATTTACGATTAAATTTAAAGAAAAATTTTGAGAATAATAGGAAGGAAAATGAAGAATGTATAGTTAAGAGATCTTTTGAAATTTGTGATGCTGTAAATTACAATGGCCTGTTTTTCTTCCTTCTTAGTAATATTATGACTGGTCTTGTCAATACGTTAATATATACATTATATGCAAAACAGTTGGTAGCTGTCTTAATATTAATTATATATATGGCTATAAGTATATTTTCTACATTGATACTTTATAGATTACAAATACCAGTCAAATTGTAAAATGTACAAATATTATAATAAGCTTTTAATATTTATATATATAAAATCGAATTTTTGACAATTACACTTTATTCCTATATTACTGAAGATAATTATATTGCATAATTTATATCTAAACATGTGCAGAGAACTATTTTTTATTAATAGATTACATTATTTCTTGTATGGCCAAAAGGATATATTATAATTAAATATTATTTATAGATTTTGAATAAACTTTATAATTAAAAATTAGCAAGTAAGAGAAAACACTGCCAAATGCAACTCAGACATATCGAAGAATCGCGCATTTATTTATTAAAATAAGTATGTACATTAGTATAAAAAAATAAGTAAAAAATTTGTTCAATAACAAATAGTTTACTGCATTTTACACTGCAGATTGCACCACTCTCAACGTGTTATTATATATTTAATTTTTTTAATTTATCTAAATTTTGTTCACAATTCATCTTTGGATAATATATTTGACTTTTGTTGCAATTGAATTGATTCTTTTGCGTTGGAAGGCTGTACCGATTCTATATTATCCGTTGTTTTAGTGTCATTTTGTATTTCACTTAGTGTCATTTTATGAAAATTATTATTTATAAATTTGTTAAACGCATTATGATATTTTACATGATTTCTTGCAAGGGCGACAATTCTCAAGAATTCTTTAACATCGAAGCTATAGTTTGTAAATTTTGCATGAGCTCCACCGTCAGGATGCGTTCCCTGTAAATTTTTAAATATTTTGAAATTTTATTAGATATGCTATATATTTAAATATTAAAATTCAATGAAAAAAAAAACATTGTCTAAACATACTGAATCTTGCTGCACTAATTTTGATGTATCTTTCCATGTAAAATAGCCTACGCCTCTTAGCCGTGCAAGATCTTTATAGCAATTTGGATCTTCGCAATTATATCTGAAAATAATTTAAATAATCGTTTACCATAGTTTATGCTTCACAATAATATTTCTAGAAATATTAAAAACGGTCTTACATTTCGAATACCGCTGCCCAATCTGGTAGAAACATTAAATGCGTTAATCCGGCGCCGTGAATACCGATAAATATATCTGTGTTTCTAGTAATTTCCAACTGTTTTTTGAATGGCACATTTTTATTGTATACCACCTGCAAGAACGAGTCAATTATATATGTGTCATCAGTAAATAGAACACTGAAGATAATTAAATAAATTAAAGTTTCACCTTTCTGACTTTATACTCTGAATTCTCCTTCAAAGCTTTCAACAATTCGTCTTCATTTAAAATTGTCCTATACTTAGTCTCTCTACTCAGCAATGTAACGCGGATCCTCCGATCTTTCCTTTGATGCAGAGGTATTTGAAGTCGATGTAGGACATGATCACCGAAAGCTTTGAACAATCCGGATTTTTCACAGCCATAAATCTAAAAAATATTTTCTTATAATTTATAGTCTTTCTTAGAATGTGGGGTTGTCATAATAAAATGATATATGATTTTACTAATGGTGTATTGTAGAACAGTCCAAAAATCATTCGGGGCAACAAGGGAAACACCAGGTTCTTGAAACATACTGTCTTGCCTCTGAATGTTTTTAGATCCCATAATGGATTTTTGTAAATGCTTGGAAAGTATCTTGAAACGCCGAACGGTAACTGAAAGCAAAATATATTCAGTGTAAATGGTTCGAGATATTTATATTGTGCCAATTTTGTGTTATGCTTTATTTTATGTACCTATAACTTTCCCATATCATGATGTGATTGTCTGTGTCAAAGACGGATGGGTGCGATAGATTCACGTGCAATGATGCGTACAAGTTGAAGAAATCGCAAAAATGATGGTACATATTTAATACTACAACAAAATGAATGAATATGAATAATTTGTGATATTTTTTTTAGAAAAAAGGAATCCTTGATTCAAGTATATGTTTATTCTTGAACGCTATTTGATTCATTTAAGCATAGAATGCTCTTTGTAATCACAAATCTTCATTTGCCTTAATAATAAATAAGTTTATGTGAAATATATTTTATCCTTAAGATATATTCTTATTTTAAAATCGTTATACGGTAAAAACAAACTTAGTCACATTTGAACTAAGAATTATATACTTGAAAGTACCTCTTATATCCAATCCTCACTTGTCCTTGCAACTTTATTTTTAAATTGAAGTAAATTTCAGCTTCAATCAAGAATATTTTGCACTTTCATTTTAAGGATATATCTTATGTCCTTTATCCAAGATTATTTATATTTGACGCTATTATAAGGATAAAATATACTTGAATCAAGACATATTTGCATCTTTCAAGGATACTGTTTTTTCTTTGTTCTTTTTTGTGTGAATGTCCTAAAACTTACTGGCATCTATTTTCATGATAAAGGTTGGTTTCTCGATGACAACGTTACAGTCACCGTGAACGATCGGCCGATGATTCAATTTGCGAAAGTTTCGCAATTCTGGTGCCCAAGATTGCAAGGGGCTTAGATGATCTGTATTTTCCTGCAATCTCCTTTCGTTCAGCCTGATCGCAGAAGAGAGAGTTAGATACTTTCCAATTTCTCGTACAGATGATTTGCTTTGCTCGTTGATATTTTCTTACGTGCAATAACCGCCAATTTGACCTTCTTTGAAAACGTCCATTTTATATCGTATAGGTTCCTTGCGATTCAACAAATCTGTAAAATTTAGCATCACATTTCTTGCTCTGCAAAACCTCATATGCTCCGTGCACTCCAAGGACGAATCGTCCTGAAAAAAAATTACTTTATTTGATGAAGATATCGACTTAATTATCTTTTTGTATTCAACACATGACGTCAGATTTATATTATGATTCAGTGAGCTCACCACGAATAATGGCTCGCATAATAACATCATCTCTCTTCTCTGATCGCGCACGTATCCGAAATCACCTTGTGCGTAATATGTCTCTAATTGAGCCTTTTTTGTAGCGACCCAACCTTTGTGATCACCTGGACAAATTGGAATGGAAAAACGATTTTTCATTTTGCAGCCTTCCTCGTAGCCCCAACAGGCTTCGGTGTCCAGTTCGTTCTGAAATTTACATGTTTCTTTTTCAGTGATTATATTAATAATTTGAGAATTTTTTTATGAACGAAAATATATACAAGATAATATTCGATAGTGCTATATTATATGTGAGAAATTCGATAAAATTATACTCGAAATTGATAAATTTTTTTTGTAATTTTACGTAATATGTTTAAGAGCACACATACGAGAGAGAGAGAGAGAGAGAGAGAGAGAGAGAGAGAGGAGAAGAGAGAGAGAAAGGGAGAGAGGGGATGAAAGTGTATGTCGAGGAATTAAATATTACGAACTTTACCTTATACGGACAGGCCGCATCGTTGCGGCATTTTTCTGCTATCGTGGGAAAAGAGTTAAAATAATACTTGATGTGTTCATGGGGTAGATTGATATCTGTGTAATTGCCGCCAATGGCAATGACCGTGAATACAAGCACTAGCGACACGGGATGAACTGCGAACAACGTCCTCATGATCGTGATAGAAAGACTACTATGGGATGAAGCAGATGTATTCCCAAGATGTATTCCTCGCGCCGCGTGAATGAAAAACGGACCACCTGTGAAGGTGGGTGTATGGCTTCACCTACTACGGCCTGTTATACAGCCACGTGTATCTGCGTATATTTACACACATATATACACTCGCGAAAGAGCGGTGAGAGGTGATGATGAAAATATGATGCGTGAGATGCGAGGCAGCTTACATCATAGATATAAGTACACTGGTTCACCTCGTGAAGAGTTTTATATTTAGGAGACGTATCGTTCGTTAATGGTTTAGCTCAAAGTTACAAATAATTATACGATGTGGTTATTGATATGCTGACGAAGATTCAAATTTGAACTAAAATGTATGTTAATAAAGAATGATTTCAAATAGAATAATATTTGTGTGTAATTCCTAACGCACTTGACTCTCAATTGGTCCAATTTTACTACAAGTTCTGCACATTTAGAGCTTTTCCCTCATTACAGTTTCATATATTTACGTAGGCATTTTTTATATTTTATATTTTAAATAATATATACACCGGTATTTTATATATCAATCTAATATATAGATTTTTCTGACAACAGGATAAGTAAAATTATTGAAACAATCGGAATCAATTTTATTCAATAATATATTTTTAGCGAAAGTATCAAAAAATATATTTATTTCTTAAAGGCACTGGGGCGAGAAACATTTTTGTTTGCATCCAGTTATCTGTCACACATGATCAGCTGTTTAACATCATATTTGCAATATGGCTGGCGCACAAACTGTCACTGTCAAGGATTATTCATTTATCACCGATTCACATGATTCGTTTCTTCCCGAGAAGTGAATGATCTAGCTTCTGAGTAAACCATCGAAGGAATGCACCCTCGAGCAGCTCTTCGAATCACGTAACCTCGTCTGAAGGTCTCGGATCTTCGAACCATAACCCATTGTGAGCTTTGTGCCGCGTGGGAAAGCATTTTTAACTGAATTGGGTCCATCTATGGGTTTCTTTCCATCACACGAGTTGCAAAAGGTTGCACCATTATCTGAAGAACGTTGGCAAAATAGGAAAACGAAATATTTACCTATCGTCGACAAAGAATATAGTACAGTGTAAAGTAGATAAAAGGCATATCTGTATATACCTTTTCTCAGTTTCATTCTTCAATACCGATCTTACATCGGAAACTGACTGAGGGCGCCTCAGTTCATTTCATTTGAGATTGCTATGAAAAGTTAGCGTGCCTAGTGAAAGTTTGATTTATTTGTAACTTTCATATATATATATATATATATATATATATATATATATATATATATATATATATCTGTAATTTGTAGAAGAAACGTAAAAATTTTATGTATATCTATTAATATACAGTGATGAGGAAGTAGTAGTTGTCAAAAACTTAGAAGATAAGCTATATCCTATAGATATAAATTATATAAAGTATATAAAGTACCATTATGCTTATATCTTCTGTATCCGTTCATGATAAGATTATATATTTCAATTCGCATATGCAAATTATGATATCTTCAGATTATAAGTATAACATGAACAAGCTTTATAAAAAGTGTTCATCAATGCAATGGATTATCGTCTATAGCATCGATATCGAATGATAGCTTCCGTTATTCATCGTATGCTCTTACGTAAAGGAAGGCCCCGATATAAGTCTATCGAACGCATCTTATATGCTAATCCCCGCGAGATACGTCAAAAACGATTTCGTCTTATACGGAAGAGACAGTTCGATTCTTCTTTCGAGAAACGTGACCGAATCAGATTCTATCTTCGCAGTTTATACGATTTCGCTCGGAAAGAAAGGAGATACGAGTTGAATCTAGTCTCTCTCTTTCTCTTTCTGCATTCACTGGTTAGAAAACACCAAGTCCCACACTCTGTTAGACATGAGTCATTACGTAATCTGGAAGACTCGATTATCAGCTGCAACACCGCGTTGGTCACAGGTGTCTTTGGATACTTTCTATTTAATGACAAATCTAAAGCTATATATACGTTCTCACTAGAGCAACAACGAACAACTTTTTGTTGATGTTCTATATGTTTCTTAAAAAAGGTGCTAGTCGTTGCCGAAAGTTTCTTAAGATTCCTTACTGTTTTTGTTGCCAGCAACAAAAGTTGCCATTTGTTGCGTGTTTCCATTCGAAGCGATAAAGATAAAAGAAAAATTAGCAACACGCGTCGCAAAAAAACAAATGTTCCTTCAGTGTAGACCTTCAATTTTTAATGACACAGTCACGATTAAAATGGGAATAAAACAAAATTCAAATGTTTTTATATAATTATGTTACTTTAATATGGACAAAATGTTGTCGCAAATTGACATATGTCAAATTATTTTAAAACATTTAGCAACAAAAAGTTACTTGTTGTTGTTTCAGTGAGGACTTTAAGGTTTGCTCTTTTTAACTATAGACTTCGTTTTTTTACTCTATATTGGAAGGAAAAACATAAGCTCTGACTTAGTGCAACTAAAAAAAACAAACCTTAGATTTGTGCTGATTTGTGTCACTAAATAAAAAGCATTCCTTTTCGCAAAAGATTGTTACAATTAAGAGCTAGCACAAAATCTATGAAACTTGTCAAGTAACTTTGAGCGACACTCATTGTTCTCTTTTTCTCGCCAACAACTCATTTCTTTTTGTACGTGTTACGCAAGCGAGTCTTAAAAATTCATATAGAATGTTTAACTATTTAAATATAATCGGACCATGATTTGAATCCTATGCGTGAGGGATCTATTGTGGGATCGAGCGATCTCGATCTTTTCTCACCGCAGGCAAACGACCGCGGCTGATTACCCATGATCGTTCGCGAAACGGAAGATCGCCGCTATAATCTCTCTCGTATATATCCGAGTAAATCGGCATTGGCCGCTATAATCCCGCGGGTCAATCACGATGATCCACAAATCAATGCTAATCGATGCGAGATATCGCGGGACAATAGCGCCGATATCTTCGGCGTCAACCTGCCATAATCGTGACTTGGAAACAAATCTCCCGCGCTATATACAAACGTTATACCATATATTTATATATGTACAAATTATTCGCGGATGTATGTGCGCCAAGATCTCTCGTCTACGTCTGTATATATATAAAAGCAAGCAGTTTACCGGTATATGTAGATTGGCCGATGGACTGGTAGGGACCTGGCAGCGGCCTGCCCAGGATTGCCGCAGATAGATCGAAAGAACGATCTACATCGATCACGATCGCATCACCCCGACCCTCAACCCGAGGTACGGTCGCAACGGTACCTCGTGCTCGCTCTATTTATATATCGGTGCGCCAAACTTTATTTCTCTTCTTGTAAATCTCCTTTGTCGTCGTGGATGTCGTTCTTTTCCCCGAGAAGTTACAACGCGATCAAATTATCTTTCTAAGATTCTAAGATCCTTCTAAGTCTTTATAGCTATGATATGAAATATATTTGTCATTTGTTATTCTACATCTAGGATTGATATTTTCAAGAGAGGTATTAATGACAGACGAACGGTTCAAGATATCTTTTAAAACATTAATCGTATATTGTGTACAAAAATTAAAATGTTGATGAAACGCTTTATATAAAATTCAAAACTAAACACTTGATTTTCATTTTAGGTTATAATTATATATTCAAGATCTCAGAGCTACCGGATCATATCCGTTAATGGCAGATTTTTAAAGTTTTTGGGAAATTATTTTTCATCAGCGAAAATATCGAGGAAGGCTATCATTTTTTGCGTTTCCAATTTTTGCCATCATTTATTTTTGTAACTAAGCCTTCAATTAAAATTAAAATTTTATATACAGTAACTCTACCTGAAATTAACTGAAGAATATGATTTTGTTAATATTTTACTTCAATAAGGCTTAATTTGCGAAGAATCCTTTATTTTCAATCGCTTATAACTCGAAAATTATTGATGCCTTCATATTTTTACTGAGGAAAAATCATCTCCAAATAATCTCAGGAATTTACCATTAACAGATAATCCGAAAGATATATGGAACATTCTGTATTTTACTAATAATTATAATTACGACTGTTAAAATTAGAAACATTTTTTTCCAGATAGCAGAAGACTCGGAGATTGGAGAAGCATCACGAGACACCCCGGAAATCAGGCAATTCTCAAATAAAATCGATTTATATCCCTGAAATAAGCTATTCATCTGCATAGATAAGTGACCATTGAAACTACTGATTGCCGTAATGTTTGAGTCACGCGACGTTTGTCATAAAACTTGTTCGGTATGTCGCACATGACACGTATCTCGCGCCAGATTGATTTCATGGCGCAACCTTGCGCAAATCACGACTGATAAACTGGGGTTCCACAACATTTCCGCAGAAACGCAACGCGCGCGATAATAATGCATATATACAAGCATACCGTGACATCGGGCGTAACGTTCAACCGTCGCCGCCACTTTGGCGCCATGTGTCACGGCCGAAAGAGCCGGTTATTCGACCTACGCGAAAATCAACGCCGTAATATGTTCCTCGTAGATCTCGGGGGGTTCCTCCATCTCATGGCGGAGAAAATCGCGGGGGCGATGGCGCGTCACATTGCAGCAGCAGCCGCGGCGCGACACGTGTCTTGCGAAACGGGAACGCTCCGGGTCACCCACGCGATCGAGAAAAAATTTGCCGACGAATAAAAGTCCTCTTTCTACGTGGACGACGCACTCGTCGGAGGAAAAAGAAGCGCGAGTTTCCAACGCTCGGGGATAGTATCATGGGAGATTTCTCGCGCATCTGAGATCTTCGTATGTGCATATATATTCTTGCGCGAATCTACCTGCGTCTTTTCTCTCCGCCACCCACGCGCTCATGTCAATGCGTATCCGTAAACATAAAGTATAGGGAGGATTGTCGTCTTTTCCTGATAGACGGAAATACGAATTATCGGAATATAATACCTGCCTCAAACATTTATACGTCGGAGTGTTTGAGTTGCGCAACGATGACACTTGTTATCGTCGATATATTGCGGCGATTATAGATGAATGAAGTATAATCTAACACGTACAAATCATTAATGCGGAAAATTTTGAAACGGAAAACGTATAGAATTGGCGGAAAGCGAATGTAAATCAGTTGTTCGTATTTCAATTGCACTACTTCGACTTCTGACATACAATGAAAAAAAAAAATGATATGGTAAATAAAATGAAATAAATAATTTCTCTTTCTTTTAGGAATCAATAACGCAAAATTATTAAATCTATTAACACTTTGAAATTATGTACGAAGAATTCCAACAGGTTTAAGTCTGATTAGCAGAAATTGCCCGATGGCGTTCATCGCGCCAAAGAGATTCCGTGCTAGGTTTCCTTCGTTAGCGACGCCGCGGACTAATCGCTTAATTAATAGATGATAAATGTTTGCAATTCTACCGACGATCTCCTCGTAGATCTCCGCGCACGCAGCTCGTTACCAAGCCCAATTAATTACGAAGCGGAGCGATTAAATGCGCATAGCCGACGAGGACAGGAGTACGTTTCTTCGTTCTGTCGCT